ACCCGCCCCCCTGTTGGCCGCCCGATCACCGCCTCGGGTGCCGCTCGGGCACCGTTCGGCTCCCGTTCGGGTGCCAACCCCTTCGGCCGTGATGCCGAATTCCGCCTAATACCAGGGATTTGGCTCTCGGATGGATACGCGTGGCTTCACCTCAAACACTAAAGGACTGCTGCGTGCGACGGCACCTGTGTGTGTGTGTGAGAGAGAGAGATAGGGAGAGGGGACTCCGGCGCATCGAGAGCGAGTGAGACAGGGTCGGGGGTGTCGCCCGGGAGGGGAGGGCCGAAGTGAGGTTAGGGTTAACGCTACTTGGGTGCCACCGCGTCCAAGGCCGCCGGTGTCCTGCCGGTCCGCCGAGCACCGCCCCTCGATATTAGCCCGAATTAATTTGAATCAGACTGCGCGATTGGAGCACAAAGCAGCAGCAGAGAAGGTCGGCGGCCGCGCTGGCCGCGCGCACGGCTGCTGCTGCTGCCCCCGCGGGGGACGGCTGCCCCCCCCCCTCCTCAGCATCGGCTCCAAATCAGCCATGTGTATTTTATTTCGAAATTCGAGAGCCGCGTCGTATTTGAATCGCCTAGAGTCCCCCTCCTCCGCCCACACCGCCGCGCCCCGGGGGCCTCGCGGAGCAGCGCGCGCGCAGAGATCCTCAGACACGCGAGCCGGACGCCTCCGAACGACGGCCGCCCGCTCTCCCTCGGACGGACGGGCGGAGAGCTGCGAGAAAGAGAGAGAAAGAGTGGAGCCGGCCGCGCTCCTTCGACCGCAGAGTTCGGCGTTTTCCTGATTGACGGCGGCCGGGGGTCGGCGTGGCGGGAGGGACGTCAAACGACTTGAAGGCCGGGGCCGGGCCGGGGCGGGGCCGGTGTGGGTGGAAACCGTCGTGGTCGAGTTCGATTGAATGCTTATTACCGCCGTCTCTCTCTCTCGCTCTCCCGCTCGGGAGAGGCTATAAGGCGCCGTGAGAGCGACGAGGACGGGGCGGCTGCCGTGCTCTCTGTTATTAGTATTATAACCGGCCGAGCTGCTGCACTGACGCCATGATGGGCTTACGAAACCATATCCTGCGCGCCGCATTTTCTCACACAATCATCCTCCTCCTCCTCTGCGGGAGAGAGAGACGATCACCGGGGAGAGAGAGAGTCGCGTGGTAGAGAGAGCCCGCCCCGGCCCGGCTCCGCAGCGCGATATGGATGGGGCCCCCCGGGCAGCAGCGCCCCGCGCTCCCATTGGCCGGCGGGCGCCAGGGCGCGAGCGGCCGCGGCCGCCAACCACACTCTGCGCGCCCTTGCCCTGGCGCCCGCCCGCGCCGCCGCCTCTGCGTGCATATCTGGCCCATCTCTGCGCGGCGCACACCTCTCTTTACTACCTACCTCTACAGCCGGCCAGGCAAACCCCTATGACAGGCAAATGGACTGACTTGTTGCTATCTCGCTCTGCGCTGCGCACGGACGGACGGACAGCCAGTGCCCGTCTCGTCAGTCGCCTCCTCGACCGTAAAGCGTACCTACTCCATGGCGGCAATTACGGCGAGAGGTCGTGATGTTCTCATGCAAAACTATAAGGTTGGGCTGGCAATAGTGAGGCGATTACCGCGCCAGGCCCTGATCCATCATTAAGCCTCGCAGCGGCTATCCAAAGTGTTCGACCGGCGCCGCCATCGAGACGGACCCGCGCACTCGCGATATCCGCTCGAGTTTATATACTTTTAACACTGAATGTATTTAACGGCGGAAACTGACGAGCTGCTGCTGATTTGCGTTTTGTTTTTTTCGTGTAGTTGGCCGCGCATCAAGATATGAAGCAAGAGCGTTTTGTGAACATGCGGCGCGCGATGCTCCTCTTCAAGGAGATATGATCGGCCAACGGCAACCGCGCCGGCCACGCACCGCCGCGCAGCCAGCCGTGGCCGAGCACCGAGCACCGGCGAGCAGCCGCGAGCAGCGCAGGCCCGCAGGATCGCGCGGGGAGGTGCCCTCGGTGCCCTCCGTGCACTCATATCTATCGTCCACCTAGGGCCTGGGCGGGCTCTTGGCTTGCTTGGCCTGCAAGCCATACTCATCGCCCACCTCGTCCTCCCGAGTCACCACCAACCATACGCCTAACGTCCTCGTCCTCCTCTGTCCTTTCTCGACACCCCTTTGGACTGCTCGCGTCCTCCACTCGTCCTCTGCAGAGTATGAGAAGCCCGGCAGGCGGGGAGGGTCGGTCGGGCGAAATAGGTCACGTGGTATAAGGCCGTTTCTACAACGACCTCCCCCTCCCCCTCCCGCCGCGACCAGCACCAGCGCCCTAACTGCTCCCCTGGATGGCGCGGCGTGGCGCGGCGCCCGGCGATGCCCAAGTTTTAGTGGCTCAAACTGCAAGCGGGTGAGCTTGGCGCGACACCTCCGCCGCGCGCCCCGCGCGCCCCCGCCCGCGGAACACCGCGCCACTCTCCCGCGGAACACCTACGGAACACCCCCGGGGGTGAGTGAAGGTGTGTAGCCGAGCAGTATAGCTCGTAAGACGGCGCGGCGCCCCGACCGCAGCGCACAGGGGAGGCGGGGGGCGGCAGGGG